TGTGTTCCATTTATCTTTGTATCTTTAGGGATTATAGTAGTAACTTACACACACACACACACACACACACACACACACACACACACACACACACACACAGCAGATGTTCCAGAAATGGTAGGAATTATAAATTCAGAGGGCTTGAAATGCCTTCCAGTAAAATTTTAAAAAGAAAACATCTCTGTAGCAGAATATTCTACCACAGATCAGCTCACTTGTATTCAGATGGACATGCACTTTATTTTCAAGAGGCTTGTATGTCCTGTGGGGCATAAAGTGTGTCCCCACAGGCAGTGAGGGAAAGACAGGAGCTAATCACTGAGTAATATCAGGAGGGTGTGGTGGTGCACACCTTAATTTCAGCACTTGGGAGGCAGAGGCAGGCAGATCTCTCTGAGTTTGAGTCCAGCCTGGTCTACAGACTGAGTTCCAGGACAGCCAAGGCTACACAGAGAAACTCTGCCTTGAAACCAAACCAAGCAAGCAAATAATCAAACAAACAAAAAAGGGCAATAATTAGGCACCCGACTTACAAGTGAGGCTGCTCCTACCTGTCAGCTCTGCGTTGGGCCACCACCCCAGGTCACAGGCTCTGCAGGTGAACTCATCTTGCACAAACTCATTTTCTTTGCAGGCTGTGCAGATCCAGCAGCAGCTCACTTCTCCTTTCCGGATGACCTGCAAGACAGGAAAGTGTACATTGTTCTCTTGGCTATTCTCCTGGTCCAGCCTTCCAGATATTGAAATGCTGAGATTACAGATGTGAGCCATTAGGCGTAGCTACAATCTTAGTTTTTATTTTGCTTAAAATCTGTTAGGGAAGACATGGAAGGATAATATAACATAGCAATTAATATAGAAAGATACTTATACAGTACACAAGGGTTCTTAGGAAGGTGCTTGGAAGTTGGTACCCCAGACAATCTCCTGTTTCAGGTGAGGACTTGTCTGCACCATAATCTTGAAAAATCTCCCACCTGCTAAAGGAGCCTGAGGAAGGTTTGAAAACCCCATGATCTTAGAGATCAGGAGGGGACATCAACTCATTCCATCCTGAGTTTGGAAGCCTTTTGGTAGCACTTTTATACAATGAATCGACTACATTCTTTTTGTGGCATTATTAAGAAATAAAAATTTAAACTAGGCATGCTGGCACACACCTTTAATCCCAACACTCAGGAGGCAGAAGCAGGTGGATCTCTATGAGTTTGAAGCCAGCCTGGTCTATAGTGCAAGTTCCAGGACAATCAGAGCTACATAGTGAGACCCTGTAACAATACTAAACAAAATGTAACTTTTTCCTTATGTTAACATTTATCAGTTACTTTTAAAAATAAAAAAAATGATGATATATTTTTCCCTGAAAAGGTTTTTTTTAATCCTTTAAATTTATTGCAACAGTGCTGTGGGAAGATGGAGACAGACCAAGAATTGTGGCTGCCTATCTCATAGGTTTGACCCATGCTTTTTCATTTTGTGTATCTTAGATAGTTTTCTCTCGGTGTGGATGAGTGACTGGACCTAGAGCTGGGCTTCTTAGGCCAAGATGTCAGAAACAGTATCATTTAATGTTCATCCTGATAATGTGTTAGGTTATCCAAATTTCCCATAGTGTCTAAGGAGTGTGGACCAGATGCGGGGCAGGATGCTCATGAAGGCACAGGATGCTGCATTTCCTCTCTCGCTCTTTCATTAGTGTCCGGACCTTGTCAGGCAGGCAGTTTGTTAAGTTTTCTCCCCTTTGGACCTTGTCTTTGGTGGGGAGTATCCAACCTTTTGACACTGTGATGTTATCTTTCATCTACAAATGTATTGGGCCACATTCACAGCTATCTTAGGAGGGATGGGCTGCAGGTGGGACATATTTGCTATAGAGCAAGCACATCTAGAATGGTCTGTTTTAGGAACTGTTCAGCCTCATTAATAAATTCTGATTATTCTAGTCCTTCATTCAGTTGTGTGTATGTTCAACAAGACATCTCCATTCTGGCTGGTAGAAACTGGGACATTTTTTGGCTCTGTGTCAACTCTGAGAATTCACTTCCCTAGGCTTTGCCCTTTGCCTGGACTCTTCCAATTCTACTCTGCTCATGTGTAGACTGATGTTCAAATACTAAGGGAATGCCTGTGCTAATTTCTGGGACTATTTATTTGTTTCCTCCAGAAATGCATCGTCTTGCTTCTCTGTACTGCAAAGCGCAGTTCTCCTGGCTTTCCCAAACTCTGATTCTGTCTTCTTGAATTAGCAAGATGATCAAACTCTGTGTTCTGTGTAGCTGAACAATCAGGAGATTGCCTTGAGGCAGGAAGCCTGAGTCGTTTTAGGGTTTTCCTTGCACATTTTTTTTTTCACTTCCTTGGCATCAAGGTCACACACTGTCTTCCAATGTCTGAACACAGTGGCTTCAAATATTTTATCCAGCTTTCTCATTGTTTACGGCAGAAGGCACAGCCTGCCCCCTGATATTGCCACACGTAAAGCAGCAGAAGCCCTTCACTAGCACATTAAAAATAACAAACATTTCCATATGTAAAGTCAGAGTTAAGCTGTAAATATTGCCATAATTTAAAGTGATAGACACCCAAGCCTTCATAAATCTGAATTATTTTCAGGCAGAATTGAAATTTATACCATCATTTTAAAATTACAGGGAAAGATCAAATGACAGAATGTTTTCAACAAATGTAAAAGAGTTTCCTTTTCTTGTTTTGCTTTCAAATGGCTTTTGAGAGTACAGTGAAATTTAGTGTGTTTTTTGAAAAGCAATTTCAGATAGCCTCAAAATAGGTATAGGAAATTTACATCTCAAACAATGATTGCTTTCTAAACGGTATGGTAAAAAAATCAATTAATAAATGGTTATTACTTTATTTTAATTAGGATAAGTCATATAGTAAAAGCCAATGTAAAATGCTGTGGATTTGTCCAACCAGCTTTAATCTTTCATCTCCCAGTAAAACTAATATTACTACTTAGGCAAATCTAAATGATAATACTAAATAAATTCGCCAGCCCCACTTTCTGCATGCTTTTAATATCTCTCAGGTTTTCAGTTCTTTAAACAATGCTTTGGGATCAAAATGGCAGGAGCTAAGCTACTAGTGTGTTTAATCAGGAATGGTGATATAACATTAGTGACTTGAAATTTTGTGGGCGTGTTGCAATGTCTCCATCATTGGAAAATGAGTGGGATGGTAATGCTTTTCAAAGTTCCATCCAGCTGAGTTCACATAATACAAATTTTATATTCTACCACATGTCTGAAGCTGGTTTTTCTCTCAGAGGACATTAAGTGTGCTACTAGCAGGTGTGCTAGAGATTAGTATAGGAATATTCTGGTATTCCCACACCTCTGTCTCTACTTTTCTGTTAAATAACACAGACTTGGTATAAAATCTGTTTCTTATCATTATTTCTGTATAAAGTAGCGGGAAGACTTGGTATCAATAGTAGAGACACACACATATACAAACAGAATCACATAGTCTATACATTCTTAGTCTTGTCATGTTTTTAATTTTATCAGGAAAAGGGAAGACATATTAGTTGTTTGATTGCTTGACAATTTTGCTCAAGAATGAATACCCAATCTCCCAAATAAACAACATCTTTTAGAGGATAGTTCTGAAATTGGACTGAATAAGCAACTGTAATACTTAGGCAACAATAAAAATAACTGCGAAAATGAGCAGAGGAAGAGGAAAGTAACATGGAAACAACAGAGTTTAAGAAGGAGTTATTAGGGGTCAGTTGTTGCAACAATGATCAGAAAACACCAGGTCACTTGGGGATCTCAGTCCCTAATGTACTGCAGAGTCTTGCCATACCTACTCTAAAGCAACCCAGTCCAGGGACTTTTTAGCAATGTCCTGTGTTGAAAGAGGAGAGTGTAAATACAAAGCATTGAGATTATCAATGTAATTTTAAAGATATTATTAGAAATCTCAAGTTTTCTCCAAAGGGAACTTCTCCAAGTACTTACAGATACTGTCTGGAAAATTGAGAGAGTAACCCCTGTAGCAGTGCACCCACAAAGGCTCAGGGCACACACCTGGGAACACCCTGTTCCAGTTAGGAACAAACACAAATGGTGGCTTAATGGACTCTTGGTGTCTATAAGATACAAAGATACTCTTGATGGATCTTGTATCTATAAGAACATCTGACATCACATTGAAAATGATAGTGTCTCCTGTACTTTGGCACTCAACACATCTGTCTCTGCCCTTTTGCTCACCCATAAAAACAGACAAACAAACAAACAAACAAAAAACAATAACACTACCGCCAAAGAGATCTACCAGGCTAAGGTTGGCCAAGGTGCTGTCTATCAGTTAAAATTAAGCAGTCCTCTGAGGTCCATATTTCTATTTTCTTTTGAAACCAATCTTTTCTCCTCTCCTCTCTCTTCTCTCTCTCTCTCTTCTCTCTCTCTCTCTCTCTCTCTCTCTCTCTCTCTCTCTCTCTC